CTATGTTGAAAAGACAACCACATTTTAAAGATGGTTAAAAGATAAAAGCAACAAGTCACATCTTAAGCTAGCTAGCTAATGTTAGCAAAAACACTAGCTAACTAGCTAGCTAATCTACATCTATTGTTAGCCATGTAGTTAGCTGTCTAGTGTTTTAATCTGTGTATGACCGTTCTCAATGTTAAAGCATTTGCCACTGAAACAGAACACCTGACTTCCTTATCAATGGAGATTCTTTAGTCATCACATCTTAAATTAGCAAATGTTAGCAACATGCTAGTGAATTATCTGGCTATGTCACTTTTATCTTTTAATCATCTTCAAAATGTAGTCGTCTTTTCAACATAGATTAGCCTAGCACATAGCATATCAAAGTACAGGAAAGGAGGACGTTGACTAGGCTCTGACCGAGGCTTGCTCAACTGTCATTGGAGCACCCAGCAAAAAGGGGCGGGACTTAGGAAGGGTCAGTTAGGAAGTGCTCATTCTCAAGATAAAACATTTAAAATGACAGCAATGTATTGATTGTGCAAAAATACTTTTAAATGCAAGCTGAGAAAACTGATTATTTATGCAAAGATAACATGTAACTGCTCTACAAGTTTCACCAGTTTATCGCTGTAATCCAACAATTGGTTTATCCATCTCTAGTGAAACTTTTCTCCTTAATGTTTTATATGGATCTATGGGCACATTCAAGTCCTTACCTCTCCAAAGTAGGAGACCAGTGGTGAAATCTCACATTGTGCTGGAGGATTGTTCCCTGCTGATACACTGGGGGAAAAACACACACTTTTATTTTTCCACTCTATGTTAATACAACACTCAGTAGTCCATATGCAAATTGAAAGAGTTATTGATAGCTATGATCATCTCTCCTCTCCATAGAGGGAATTTCATACAAAAAAGTAGGGGCACAAGAAAATATCATATTGCAATATTTTGTTTTGTGATATTGTATCGAATCTCAAAAACACTAATTGATTTTTGTGTTAAGAGCCCCAACTGCTAGTTAATAGTGTTGTGAACATAAACCAACTTAAAAGACTGATGACTGAAAAGAAAGATTCGCACAGAACAAAGACTGTGGATGTCTCACAGTGTTGTCTCATTAGGAAGGATCTCTTCAGGGCCAGTGTGAGCAGGAAGAATCATTACAGAACACAATAACCACTGTTAAATGTCAATGCTACCACAGTGCAAGGCTACCACATATATTGTATTCGTTGTATATTTTTATTTTTACACTACACCTCCTACAGAATTGGAAATTTAATGGGGAATCCTACACATATATAAAAAGTTATTTTACAGTGAGATCTGCTTTTTTGACTCTTGAAGTTAAAGGCAAAGTGTGTACAATTTTTATGTGATAAACTGAAAGTAAGGAATTAGATCAGGAGGTGGAATACATGGAGGAAATGAACAAGTCTTTAATCACGCTCTTTTGGAAATGTAATTTAAGTTCTATCCAAACACATACCTACTCCTACAGTTTAACAAAAGTATTATTGAACATTTTTCCCAAATGATGTGTAGATTTTTAGGCATTCTTTTATCTCCACTGGCTTGAAAAATAGTGCATATACAGGGAAGCATGCCCTCGGACCCTACTTGGTTAAGCCTTTAATGTTTACAACGCCTAGCCACGTCTCTAATGCTGCCCCTTCATATTATTATCTTTGGAAATGAGGCACATATAGAAAATTTTGTGTTCAATGATTATTACCAAAATGTGTCAGTGATACCTCATTTATAACTATAATTAATTGATCAATAATGGAAAATAGCTCAACTTTTTATTTTATTTAAAAAAAGAATTATTATTGTACATATGTTTGGTGCTGGAGATATTAATAGCTGCCGTAAGCGGAGAAGCGGTATGTACTGACTGGCGCGGCGTCCTTTCGCGAGGTAAGAGCAGGGCAGCACCAAAGCCAACGATCTCTCTGTCCATCCCATGGGTCGATCCCGGTAAAATGAGTGTAGCTGCGTTGCTACAGCAGGTGTGCACGCGCGGCTTTTACTCAGAGTGACCGTGGCAGCCCTTTAAATTGAGCAAGCCAAGAGATGAGGGCAGCT